GAGCATGCCCAGACCTCCATATGAATTAAATCATTGAAATATTATAGGAGACAAATATCATTATTGCTCCCATTTGATTTCTAGCAAATATGAATCTAAGAGGGGTTTAGTAACATGAACCAGTATATAAACCAATAGGTGGTAGACTTAAGCTTAGCCTAATGCCTGAGTGGGGGAATTGAGCCCCACTTTTGTCTCCTTGAATGGCTCTAACGCATCTCTTAGTGGGTAACAACTTAGGAATTTGCTCAGTATATTTTGTGGTCATCCTTTAATCCCTTTTTTGAGCTCTTCTTTTGACTCTAGGAGCAATAACTTGATGAAGAGGTAAAACACGTACAATTTGCAATGAGCACTATTTAATCTGTCAATAGCTTTCAATAATTTATTTTATGAAAAACCTATCAAAGACCTTTTTACTTTTTCTTTTTTTAATAGGGATAGGGTTTTACTCTGTTGCCCAGGCCGAAGTGCAGAAATGCGATCATAACTTACTGTAGCCTCGAAGTCCTGGGCATAAGAGGATCCTCCTACCTCAGCCTCCCAAGTAGCCAGAACCGTAGGCACACACCATCACACTTGGCTAATTTGTCTTAGCCTTTTTACTTTTAACCTCCATGTAATTTCTGTCTCTAAGGTAGTCTAGAGACAGTGGGATTGTACATAACATTTCAGATTTGGCATGGTGTCTTGTATTAGTGAGAGGCTGATGCTAGGCTAGAGAAATGTCATCTCACATGGAAGAATTCCTCCTTCTTCTTCACTACATAAAGTGTCCATCATTTTTAATAAATCCAGTATTTGAAAATCTAACATGCACATTGGTAGGCAATTATTTCTAATACACAAGGATTCATCACAGAATTCTAGTTTATTAGCATTGTATATTGGTTTATGTAGTCAAAATGTGATTAGATTCAACTTTTCAGATTGTTGAATAAAGCAAGATCCACTGTCTTTAATCCATTATTCTCCAACCTAGTGCAAAGACCATTTTGGGTTACAGGTTTAAAGGTGCGTAAACAACCAATTTGGCCAGCACCACATGATAAAATGTTTAATATTTCTCCTATTAAATATCAAATCAAAGGAAAAATATATGCCTCATTCTTTTCAAGAAATAGTGTGGAAACAACTAAATATTCAAATTTAAAATAAAAAAAAAAAGAAGCTAGACACAGGTCTTATACCTCTGACAAAAACTAACATTAAAAGTTAACTAAAACAGCCTTTAGGAGTTATTTCAGAAGAAGACATTGTTATCATAGGGAAGTGACAACTCAATGTATATTACTCCCCCTGAAGACCCTTTAGTGGGACAAGATGTGGCGATAGAAGAGAGTGATATTGATGATCCTGAAACTCTCTAGGCCTAAGCCAATATGTGTGTTTATAGCTTAGCTTTTAACAACAACCAAAAAAAGATTAAAAAGTAAAAAGATAAAAATATTAAATGGAAAGAAAGCTTGACCAGAATTGCCACCATCTAATAATAAACTTCCGTGGATGAAAAGTTACTGCTTCTGAATGAGCAAGTAGTTTCTTGAAATGGAATCTAGGGCTGGGGAAGATGTTGTGAACATTATTGAAATGATAACAAAAGATTTATTTACTTATTTATTTTGGAGACAGAGTCTCACTTTGTCACCCTGTGTACAGTGCCATGTGCATCATAGCTCACAGCAACCTCAAACTCTTGGGCTCAGCAAACCTTTGCCTCAGCCTCCTGAGTATCTACAACTAAAGGCAGCTACCACAACTCCCAGCTATTTTTAGAGATGGGGTCTCACTCTTGTCCAGGCTGGTCTGGAACTCCTGAGCTCAGGTAATCCACCTGCCCCGGCCTCCCAGAGTGCTAGGATTACAGGCATGAGCCACCTGGCCTGGCCCCCAACAAAAGATTTAAAATACTACATAAACCTCATTGATAAAGCAGTAGCAGGGTTTAAGAGAATTCACTCCAATTTTGAAAGTAACTCTGTGAGTGAAATGCTATCAAACAGGATAAGATGCTACGGAGAAATCTTTTGTGAAAGGACTAGTCAATCAACGTGGCAAACTTCATTGTGTCTTATTTTAAGAAATTGTCACAGCCACCCCAACCTTTAGCAACCACCACTCTGATTAGTCAGCAGCCATCAATATTGAAGTAAAACCCTGTGCCAGCAAAAGGATTATGATTTGCTAAAGGTTCAGAGATTGCTAGCAACAAAATATTTTAAATGAAGGTATGTGCATTTTTTTTAGACAAAAATAGGTACCCTTGCATACCTAAATAGAGTACAAGATGGTTAAATACGACTATTTTTTTTTTCTACTACAACTTCAAAGACTGACTCGCTTTGACTTTCACTAAAAGTGTAGGCCCCACTCCTTTCCCTATCTTCATCAACGCTGGGTGTCATCAGTCTTCACATTGTTTTTCTTATGCTGTTTTCACATATATTCTTGAATTCTGAATAGAATTGAGACCAATTCTGTATAGTGAATAGTCACTTGTCCTTCTTTCACTGTGAGCTGCTGGCTTGTATCTTTTGTCCCATTCTCTCCTTGGTTTTCACCTTTTTCCTTTTTGGCTTACAGTATACTATTCTTTGTAAATTATATAAATTAATCTTTGTCTGCAATATGGGTGACAGTTATATTTCTCAGTTTGTTTTTGTCTTTGGGCTTCTTTTACACATAACTTTTATGTGCACTGGGAAACCAAAAAATGGGTGTGACTCTTTTTTGGTGATACTTACTTTATTGCAATAGTCTGGAACCAAACCATCAGTATCTCTGAGGTATGTCTGTAATTTCTGTTTCTATGACCTTGACTACTTTCATGCAGTATGTTTCTATTTGTGACTGGCTGTTAGCATCATGTCCTCCAGTTTCATCCATGCTGTAGCATGTCACAGGATTTTCTTTTTTAAGTCTACATAATTTTCTACAGTATATACAGTCTACATTTTCTTTTTCCAATTATCTGTTGGTGAACATCTGAGTTGTTTCCACTTCTTGGCTATGGTGAATAAGGCATTGAACATGACTGTGCAAATATCTCTTTGCGTTCCTACTTTGAATTCTTTTGGATAAATACTGAGAAGTGGGATTGTTATAACTAACTTTTTAATTAAGTGCTTAATTTGTGCTGGTTATATATTACATATAAGTACAACTTGAGGAATTCAGACCTTCTTAATCCTAACCTGAATTCTTACAATGAAATTTAAACTTGTCTTTTCAAGCCTTTGCTTGTGCTAATCTCCTACCCATAGAGAGCCCCAGATGGCTCTTCCCAAGTGTCATTCTCTACTCCGAGGCCTTTCATGGTTCTTTATTATCTGCTTTTCAATCTCTCTTTAGGCCCCAGTTGTCGCTCCCCCATGCCTCTGTCATGCTCCAGAAAGCTAGCCCACTTGCCATTTACTGAGTATGCTTTGTGCTTTTTCTGGAGCTTTACTTATGCCTGAAAATGTGCTCCTCTTTTCATTTGTACTATAAAAATCTTACCCATCTATTTCAAATGTCATCCGTATTCACATTTCTAGTTTCCTCCTTCCATCTCCCCTACCCACATCATTATACTGCTATGGTTATTTCGTGATTTTCTGCCCTTAATTACATTGCCCTTACCTCTCTTTGCACCTTTGACTGGATTTTATTCCCTTTGAGAAGAGAAACTATATCCTCCCATTTTTTGTATCATACACAGTGCTTTGCAGGCGGTGGGCGTTCCACATGTTGGAAAGACAGGGATACCAAGTGGCTAAGGCACAGGCTGCTGAGTCAGGTAGAGGGGATTCAGATCTCAGCTGGACTGCTCAGTAGCTACGGAGCTTGGGCAAGGTAACTAACTTCTTTAAAATTCAAATTCCTTTTCTGGGGGGTTGACGTTTTATCTACTACACAATGTTATTTAAAAATTTAAGAGAAAATATATGTAGAATTGTCATGGATTAAATATCCATTAAATGGTAGTGGCAAGTATTTATTTCATAGAGTTTTCCTTCTGGGATATTCCGAATACCTTCTATTTAAAGACATTTCACTTCTGTCTTTTTTAGCCATACTTATCATCACAACAGACAAGCCAAAGAGATAAAATTAGAACAAGGATGATCATTTACAGATGAATTTACTGCATTCATAATAGGATCTATATTTATTTTGAAATTACTGTAGGACTTATCAATTCATCAATCTATAAATATTTATTGAAAAACTATTACACACCAAACACTGATGATACTGGAGATACAATGTGAATAAGGTATAGTCTCTGTCCCCCACTAACTTACATTCTAATGCGTACCATAACGCCACAGATGTTCAAAGAACAAAGTAAAAATCGTCTCTATAAAATGGAGCCAAACCTCCAAATGTGAGTTTGATTAACATCCCAGACTCCATTTTTCAGCCTTCTAATTTAGCTGTTAGGGGAAGCATTGGGAGAGTCCAAGAATGGTTACCCAGATTTTTAAAAGCTAGCGTCTAAGAAGTATGTGAAGATGATAGATAGATTAGATAGACAGATAGATAGACAGATAGATAGATAGATAGACAGATCTATCTACCATATATAATATTTTCCCCCTTCTGGTGAAATTGGGATCAACCAGAGGTATAAGCGATCGTCTCTAGCGGGTAGATAAACGCTTTCTCTATTTCCGTTCAAATGACCTTAAAGTATAGTTGTTTGGAGTGAAAGTTGTTCAGTGGTGGCACGTGAGGAGAAGGACCTCCCAGAATACCGGAGCTCTTCTGTCTGTTGCAACTTAGGTGTCTGCCAGTGGGAACGGATGGTCCCATGACCTCCCGGGTCCCTCGTCAGCCCGGCCCCGGGACCGGCGCCACCCCCTCGCGGTGAGACCTGTACGGGAGAGGGGAGCGCAGGCCCTCCCGCGGGAGGGGCGCGGGCGTGGAGGGCGTGGGCCGGGGGCGGGGCGAGCCCCGCAGACTGGGTGCTCCGGGGGAGCTGTCAGTGTCAGGTTCGGGGAGAGGGAGGAAGTGATCGCTCCCGGAGGAGCGCGCCCGAGCGGCCGGCGCAGCGTGAGACAGCACATCCTGCCCGCGCCGGGCCGCCACCCTTGCGAGCCGCCCGGGAGCCGCCGCCGCGCTCGGGGAGCCCAGTGCCACCGCTGCCCAGCGCGCCCAGGTAAACAGCGGCGGGCTGTCGCCGCTCTCCTGACCGCCACCTCCGCGCACTCCCCATCCCTATCCGGTCCTCCCCCGAGGTGTCCGCCCTGGGAGTCAGCTGTAGCTGCAGCCCGGGCAGGCTCCGCTGGACCCTTGCCTCGGCCCCCTCCCCAGGCTCCTGCGGATTCCGCTGCGCCCAGAGGTGGCCAGAGCCCCCCAGCGGCAGCCCCCTGCTGCAGCTCCGCAGACCCAGCCGAGAGGCCGAGCAGAGCAGGAAGGGTCGTAGTGTCATCACCTTGTCGCCCACCTTGTGCACTGGGAGGGGCGTCCCAGGGCGCCCCGCCTCGGTCTTTTCCCAGAGAGCAGAGGGCAAGCGGCGGTGAAATCTGCGCGGCTCTGGGCCACCAGCTGACGGCCCCTGGGGGAGGAGGAAGCTGCAGAGCGAGGGGAAAGGATGCTGTTTGATTACATTTTCGAGCTGTCTGCAAAGCTCTCAGATGCTGTCGCTCTCGGCCGAGTCGGAGGGAGAGAATGCACTTCCAGCAGGCATTAATGAAACACGCAAGAAGATGCCAGTTTCTCGTTCTGCTGCGGAAAAAGTGTGGCGGGGGGTAGGGGGATGTGTTTTGGTAAACACCTTCGCGGCCGCCCGGCTCTCCTTCCCCCACTCCCACCCGGAATCGCTCTGGCCTTATAAATCTGTGCGTCGTCATCATAGGGGCAGTGATCTGGACAGCCCTGATGGGGACTGAGTGTGCAGGAGTCTCATGACTTGTACCTTGGCTAATAAGATTAAACTGAAGCCCGGGATCAGGACAGGAAATGACTTAGGAAATCAGAGACTCAACGAAATGCAGAAGGTAGAATATATTCATTATCCTGGCCTCTGCTACTCTTAGATAAAGGGCAGGAACAAGTAGCCAGCCATTTTCTTGCCTGGAATGCATTGTAGACCTCCTGTAGTTCAGAGTTGTGAAAAATTGCTTCCAAACACTCCAGACTTAGCAGAAAGCTTAGCTCACAGAAAGGCATAGGTGAGTGCAGTAAACACTCCATCGCTAGCTAATACTAGCTAACCACAAGTAAGGGTGGCTGTCGGTGTACATACTTTTATTGTGGAGATTATAGAGAAAGATGTTGATCTGTGTTAGTAAATTTGGAGTGGGTGAATTCAGTGCAAAACTGCATGCTTTTGAGATTGTGAGTAGTACTTCCTCTGATTGTTTGTAAATGCCAACTTTGCTCCAAAAGGTTTGATGTGGAAAAAAGGGCCAAAACTGCTTTTCTTGACAATGTTTCTCATTAGGATAAAACCTGACACCCTTACCTCTGAGCTACCACATGTTCTTCTCAGAGGAACCAATTCTGCAATGTTTCTCAAGAACTGATCCTCTTAAAAATTTCCCAGCACCCTCCTTTGATTGTTTTGACAAGGCAGTTGGGACTCCCCCATGCAGACATTTTCAACCTGGGCCCTATTTTTGGAAATCCTCCTGCATCTCCCTTTTTCTACCTTGCCTCAGGCCTCAGGTAGGAATGCACCTATTTCTTCCCCTTGTGTTTCTGGGATGGTGCCTGCATTTTGTTACAGTGGCCTGGAGTAAGAAGGAGTGGTTCACAGCCCCTCCTGACCCCAGCCTTTCCTCCATTTCCTACTGAAAATGTGAGTTATTGTCTTGCTGTTGAAGATTTATAACATTAGGTAAAACCACCACTGGGGCCATGGGCAGAGAAAACATATTTAACCCACAAGAAAAAGGAGCTGAGTTCTTATGGTAGTGGTCCATGGTCTTCAGTTTCTTGACTAACTTCCAAGATAGTAAGAGGAAGTCACTTGGCATTTCTGCCGTCCTGTTTACATCTAAGAGGGGGTTTTGTGATCCTTCTTTGGAAACTTTCTACTTCCCCAAATACTTCTTCCCAATTCTATGTTTAATAAATGAGCCTTTCTTTTGACTCCTGTGCTGAGTCAAGCAATTCTTGAGGATCCAGTCTGGATGCTCCTTGGTCCGTACTCAGAGCAGCCATGTAGATCAATCCTGTAAAATACATGGCAAGTGTGTTGCACTTCACTTAGCACCTTGCTTAGCACACTGTTCTCGCCTTCACCCTGTTATCGTCATGGGCTGCTCATTCCCCCTAGTCTCTTTCTGTCATTTGACCTAGCATCAAATGGAAAGGTCACACATGGCTATAGCAAATACGAGTATATTCCCGCCTTACTTTCTTTTCTCTGTACTTGGTTCTGCCAAATAAAACAATGATTGATATCAATAGCTAAAATGTAGTGACCACTTCACCAGGCATTACATTTTAAAATCCTTTCACATGTATTCATTTACTTAATCTTCACACACATCTTCCAAGGCAGATATTGGTTGTAATCCTGTTCTACAGATGAGGAAACCAAGACACCAAGGTGTCAGGTAACTTTCCAGAGATTGCTCAACTACTAAGTTATAGAGTCAGAATTTGAATGTAGAAATTCTGATTCGACTTTGAACCCATCTTCTATATAATAAAACAATCACATTGGTTGATTTTCATATATTGAATACCAGGTTCTTTTCTTATGTTATCTCATTTTGACATTTATATCAATTAATAAATTAACAGTTAATTATGTAATGAATTAATAAAATTTTAACATTTAAACATTTATATTATATAACATTTATAATAAATATATAACATTTATATTTATTTAGAGTAATGTAATGTTAAATGAGATACACATCACAAAATTGAGTTAAATGACATTCTCAAGGTCAGAGTTAATGAATGGCAGAGGTAGTATTCAAATCATGTCTGTCTGATGACTCTAAAATGAGAACTCTTTCATTTTGATTACTGTCCTCTGTAAGAAACAACGGTATCTATTTCTTTCATTTTTTCTACCTAACTTCCTGTAAGCCATAATTGTTTCCTAAAAGCCACAGTATAGCCATCCTTTTTGGCACTTAATTGGTAACTGTGATGATATGGCACAACTGACCCACAGTGCCTTTGAAATTAAATATAGCCTTGGTTTTGTCTTTTGAATGTAATTAGCTATTTCCCCAGAATACTTTGTGAGTCTCAAATGCCATGTAAATAATTGCTACTTTCATTAGGGGTACTTCTACCTTGACACGTTTGTGGTTTACATGTTCCCTAAAAAAGTGTGAGATTATATATTTCTTTGGGAAATTTGCTGGGACAATAAACTTTAGGTTTGATTTCGTTCTCATTTTTCTTCTTTGCAGTATATTAACTCTTGTCTAGGGCCATGTCAAAATGATTCCTCTTAACTGGGGACTTTTCATCTAATGGTGGACTTACTTCCTTTCATTGCTCTCTGCAGGAGGCCTGTAGCATAGACACCTCTGCTCAGGTGCTACTCCTGAATAGACCCCCCTGTTCATAAAGCATCTCTAATTCTTTGTTTGGAGGAACCTTCTTAAACAAAAGTCCATAGACACTTTAAAGGACAGGCACACAAATCATTTTCAAGTGGTCATGGAACCCACTAAAACTGATGTAAAATTTTAAATATTTATGCATAAAATGCAATTTTCTAGGGGAAGAATGATATATTTGTAAATAAAAATAGATTAAGAACCAGTGCCTTATGTCGTTGTTTAGGATAGGGAAGGAACAGAGTTTACTCTGCTGAAATATGCTGAAGACAAGGCAAAACCATCCTGCTGGAGCCAGTCAAGGAAAAATGTCCTTGGCTCTGAGAACACTTTTGGCATTTCACCTGGGCTCCAGGTGGCAGGTAGAGCTCACACTAACACACCTTATAATCAGGGGGGACTGAGGAGTGGCGGGCAACCTCATCTTATTTGTCACTCCCTGTGCTGATTCAGTGTCTTCTAGATGAATTAGTTTGGTGAAGCAGCCCAACACCCCGGTTAGGTGGGATGATATGGCACCCATTTACCTCTTTCTTTGACAAACAAGGTGCAGCTTGGTGAGATTAAGTCTCTTGGTCAAGGCCACAGGAGGCCAGGTAGGGGAAGGGCTGGATTTTAGGTGCAGGTCTGCCTGATTCTAAAATCTGTATATTCTTTTGCCATCATATCTCTTTGTTCCTTGGCCTATGTGGGATTCCAAAGCGTTATGCTCAGTGCATATAGCTTTTTATTGCGGCAGGACTGAGAGTCCCTAAGACACATGCTTCCACGCTGATAAGAAAAGCTTGAAAGTCCCTGTCAAAGGGAACAAAAAAATTACACATCTTAGCTGGATAGAAGACAAGCAAGGCCTGCTTTCCTTGAGGTGATGAAGGATGGAGCCCTACATATTTGATTCTTGTGTCGCCGGCACAAGAAAACAAATGCATAGCAACCCACACCTCCCGCAGCCCAGGACTGTCTTGCAGGGATAGCTGGGAGGCAAAAGTGTACTAATTGGAACACAAGTTTACTTTAAGTTTGCTCAGTTTTCTGGGACTTCCCTGACATAGTGGCTGTCCTAATCTGGAACACCGACTCGCTACTAAACCCTGTGTGGCCCTCTGCTTACCAGCTGTCCTATGTATAGGCTCTTCAGTTTTCAGTTCACATCAATTCTAAAATCTTCACCAGTAGCTGCTTTTGCTTCTAGAATATTTCTTAGGCCTTAACATTTTTTGCTTCCTTATATCTTTGCTATCTTCGTATTTGTTACTCTTACTGTTTCATTCTTGGGAACAGAACAGCTAATGCCATCAATGGGGCAAAAGCACAGAGTGGAAATTTTGCTTAGCGTTGAGGGCATTCATTAAAAAGGTCGTGAGACTGAAACACTGTACAGCGTCATTGTACTTAATCAACAGATCGGCTCGGTGACCAGTGCAGTGAAATTCATTATGCTTTAACCCAATGCTCATCCAACATTTTTTCCTCTCCTATAACCCTTAATGAGTTTTTAAAAATTCTGCAGCTCCTTCGCATCCACACATTTCAGGTTGATGTCTAATGGTTTTCACAATAAATCTAATGAATCACAATGAATGTGATTTTCAGAATATTGTTAAAAGTGAAAAATTATTAA